ACAAAAGACTAATATCTAGAATATATAAAGAACTCAAAAGAATCAGGCCTCCCATATGTAAAGACCCAGTCCAAAAATGGACATCTGAAATGAACATACACTTCTCAGAAGTACAAATGGCAAATAAATACATGAAAAAATGTTCAGCATCCCTGGTCATTCAAGAGATGCAAATTAAAACAATGCTGAGATTTCATCTCATTCCAGAAAAAAAATGGCTGTCATCCAGGAATCAACCAACATCAAATGCTGGCAGAGCTGTAGGGGAAAAGGAACCTTTCTCCACTGTTGGTGGGAGTGGAGACTGCTACCACCACTGTGGAAATCAGTGTGGAGATTCCTCAAAAAGCTAAAACTAATGTCTTTGTTTTTTGTTAATTTGTCTTTGTTCTTTTCTATTTAAAATAAAAAAGCTAAAGCTAGAGATTCCATTTGACACAGGTGTTCTCCTCTTTGGATCTTCCCAAAAGAATTAAAAGCATCATACTACAGTGATAGATGAATGCCCATGATTAGAGCAGCACAGTTTGTAATAGCTAGATCTTGGAAACACCCCAAATGCCCATCAACTGGTGAATGGATCTAGAAGATGTGGTTTTCAAAGGGAAGCACTACTTTGTCATAAAGAAGGATAATCTTGAGACATTTCTAGGTAACTGGATGCACCTTGAGACCATACTCTTAAATGAAATAAATTGAACACAAGTGTATAAATATCAAATTATTTGTCTGGTGTAAGAAACCAAAAGTGTAGTGCTGGGGATATAGCTCAGCAGCACAGTGCCTGCCTGGCAAGCATGAGGTCATGAGTTCAATTCTCGGTACCTAAAAAAAAAAAAAAAAAAAAAAGAAACCAAAAGTCTAAATAATGACCAGAATATATAATAGATATTGTGAAACAGCAAGAAAATAGAGGGGAGAGAGAAATGAAGGAAGGGAAAAGAATAAAAAGAGAATAGAAGGAAAAATGGAATCAAAGCTTTTGTAAATAAAGATGGAAAGAGGGGTTGAGGGTACTGTAGGAAAATGGGGAAAGAAAGAAGAATCAAGATATATCACATAGCCGGGTGTGCTGGCACATGCCTGTAATCCCAGCACGAGGGAGACAAAGGCAGGAGGATCGTTGCAAGTTCAAGACCAGCCTGGGCTACAAAGTGAGCTCAAGGCCAGCCTGAACTGTATAGTGAGACCCTGTCTCAAAAAAGACAAAAGAAAAAAGATATATCATGTATAGGCACAAATTCCATATGATGAATGTGATCATTATGTATATCTAAAATGTATCAGTAAAATTTATTCCCCCCATTACTTTGTTATCCTTCTTTTACTCTTTAAAATAAAAAAAGTTTTTAAAAATTTATTAATTTTTAAAAGACTTTGTTGGATACAGTGACCAAGGATGACATTTAAATTGAGGCCTGGAAAATGGTATAAAAACAGCTGCACAAATGGTAGAGGCAGAGCCTTCTTAAGCAGAAGGAATGGCATGAAGCAAGGCCATAAGGTAGGAAAGATCTTGCTGATATTTGGGACAGAAAGGAAGCCAGGTGATGTGACTATAAGGAGGACCTAAGAGGCTGGAGAGATAAACAGAGCCAGGCTGGGCAGGGTCTCACTGTTTAGAATGAGTCTGGATATGGTTCTTCTTGAAATACAGAGTCATTTTTGGTTTTAACCAGACCCATAAAAGATATAATTTCACTTTTGTCTACCATGCAGAAAATTAATTTGAGAAACCAGTTAGGAGACTATTGTAGAAGTTCAGACAAAAGGGGCAATGCTTTGAACTAAATATTTAAAAATGGGCAGTTTTGGAAGGTGGCTGAAAATGGAGCCACAGGACTCACTGCTAGATTGGAACAAACCAAATGAGGAATCAAGGATGACTTCTAGGTTTGGAGCAACTGAGTATATGTTGTTACCAATCACTAAGAAAGAAATGGAAGGGCAGGGACAAGGCTTGGTGAGGTGAAGTCTCCATCAGGAACCCCATCTGGATCCACAGGCATCCAGTGGGCAGGTCATGTAGAGAAGGTAGACAAGTCTGAAGCATGGCATTGGAGATACGAATTTGGGAGTGATCAGCACATAGAAGTTTTTCAAAGTACCTAATGAAAAAGGAACAGATAGAAAAAAAGATCCTATAAAAAAACTGCTATTTGGGAAAGTAAAGGGCTAAAATAGAAGACTGAAATGAATGGCTACAAAATCAGAGGAAAATTATAAGAATATACTATTTAACAAGTCAAGAGAAGAAAGCATTTCTGTGAGGAAGTATAGGTCTCTACATGAAATACTTGCTCAGCATCAATAAAAGGAAAACAACTGTCCCTCCACTGGGATTGGGATTGGGAATGCTGGGGAAAGTTGGGGATCTCTACTAGAGAATTTTCAGTGGCAAAGGTCAAAGCCAAATTGAGTTGAGTTGAAAAATGAATGAGAAATAAAAAATAGATGAAAAGAAGACAAACATTTTAAGATCATTTTCCTTGAAGAACTGCAAAGAAATATGGCATTGTTCAGAGAGGAATCTGAGATTAAGGAGTGTTTTGTTTTAAAATGGGAGGCTCTTGAGCACTTTTGTGTGACAGAAATGGTCTGGCGGGGAAGTTGAAGAAGATAATTGAGGATGAAATCCTTGAGTAGCAGAGAGGGGATGGAATGTGGGCAAGTACAATGGTTGGTTTCTCAAAATAGACACCATTCTTTGATTTAAAAGGAAAAAAAAAAAAAAGGAAGACAGAAGTTGCAAGACCAGATATGAAAGCATGAAGGCTTATTAGAGAGGAGATGAAGTCGCTTCTGATGGTTGTCATTTTCTTGAAAGGTGATATTTTAGAGGGAGAAAGTGACAAAAGATTGGGGAAAGAGGAAAAATTATGGAATAGTCATTTGAGAGAACAAGAAATCAGGGTTTTTAGGGGGGAAAGAAAACATTATTTGGGCAATGTCAAGTGATATTTGAGATTTAAGGCCCTTAGTTTCTACTGAAATCAGCAAAGCCAGTTGGATAACTTTCTCCAAGAATAATCAGCTGCTAGAACAACTTATAATAGCTAAAGCTTGGAGCAGCATCTATGTCCATCCATAGAGAAGATATCCATCAGCAGAGATGAATGGATAGAGATGTGGTATATACACACAGCACAGTGCTACTGAACCATAAAGCTGGTTAAGTTTGAGTCATTTGTAGGAAAATGGATGCACTTTAAGACCATAATGCTAAGTGACATAAATCAAACACAGAAAGTTAATATCACATAGTTTTTCTCTTAGGAAAAACTTAAGATATATATGATTGAATGAGCCAAATAAAAGATAAATGATAGAAAACAGGGAGGTAGGCTTTGTAGAGATAGGAAGAAAATGTATAAGTGGGGGCAGGAATGTAAGAAAGAAGTAAAAATGATTAAGATGCAATATTACAAATTCCCAAAGTGAGTGTAATTATTGTGTATCACAAACATATACTAATAAAAAAGTAACTACTAATGTGTGTATTAGATTTTTATCACAATGACCAAATGCCCAAGAAAAACAACTTAAAAAGCAAAGATTTATTGTGACTCATGGTTTCAGAGGCTTCAGTCCGTGCTCCTTGGCTCTGTTGCTTCTAGATGTAGGTGAGGCAGAAATGCCACGATGGAAGAACACGGGGGAGGAAACCTGCTCACCTCATGGCAGCTGGGAGCAGAGTGATCAGGAAAGAACCCAAGAAGAAAGGCCAGGGCCCAAATACAGCCCCCAAGGTCACAAGCCCATGACCCAGTCCCTTCAGCTAGGTCCCATCTTCTAAATTTCCACAACCTCCCAGTAATGCTATTAAATTATAATCTCATCAGTGGAAGTTAGGGTCCTCATGACTTAAGCACCTCTGGAAACACCCATTGATACATCCAGAAGTGTGCTTCACTAACTTCCTAGACATTTCTCAGTCCAACCTGCATCATTAACAGTCAAGGTTAACCATTGCAGGGAAAGGCAAGCAGGTGGTCATCTGCTACCATGCCTGGGAATTTGAGATTGATACCATGCAAAGTAAAACAAGGTCCCTGACAATGTCCGCAAGAGAAGTGCTATAGGGCCAGATTGTGATATTCAAGTTGGGTGTGAAGGGAAATAGAGTCAAGAGGATAAGACAATTAGTGACAAAGTGCAGGGTCCAGGACTTCATTTCAGGTTTAAGACTATTCATCAGTTCAATATCCTGTGGCCCCAGGTAAAAGGGAAAGAGAGAGATGGACCAAGGAACCACATAGGCCTGATTTGAGCACTCTCCAAGGTAAAGAAAATATATAGGAGGCATAATCCTGTAGTTCCTAACAGGATTATTAAAGCCTAATCAGAGAGAAAGTAAAGCCTTTGAAGCAGTGGGCTAGGAATTAGTTCTTGTGCTCATCACAGGTTCTTGGTTGCCTCCTATACTCCCCTAAAATACTCAGAGACAGGGACCCAGAGCCTGCCTCCACCTTTTAACTTTACAGTCTAGAGCTATACTGTCCAATGCAGTAGCTACTAACCACATCTGGGACTATAAATTTAAGTATAGATTAAAATAAATTAAAATTCAGTTCCCTAGTCACACTACCACATTTCAAATGCCACATGTGGCTAGTAGCTACTATATTGGACAACTCACATTCCCATCATTGCAGAAGGTTCTGTTGGCATGCTAGTCTAAAAGAAAACATAAATCAAATGGATTTCATACACATTCCTTGTTTATTATATCCTCTGCCACCAACTAGGTACTCGTAGGGTATTAGGAGGTTAGGAAATATTTATAAGAATGACGTTATTAACACCTACTGGTTCATTTTGTTCTCTCTAACACACACACACACACACACACACACACACACACACATCATTTTCCAGCTTTATTTATCTATCTTTAAGTAATATAGGTGGAACTGTCAGACAGTAGAAGGGAACAACCAAGAATGATTTAATGGAACTACGGGATCCAGTGGTGTTGAGACTGAAATTTGGGAGAGGTGTCAGACTGCAGAAAATGATCCCCATCTTCCATCCACGTTTGAGGATCCCAATTTGGGTACATGCTTGGGGTTCACACAGCACTTATCTTCAGATTTGCATAATGTATAGAACACTTCTCTTTCTTTACATGTTGTTCTGCACCTGCCTGATGTACCCCAACACTTCTTGACTGAAAACAAAAAGGAAGAAGGGAGCAGGGTCAGTCTTAGAAGAAATCAAAGGGCTGGGGGACAGGTTAAACCTCAGTAAAAAACAGAGTAGTTTTAAAAAGAAAAGAAAGTAGGCTTAAAGAATATTATAGATTACTATCTTTTTTTTTTCTCCACTTATGTCCCCTGTCACAACTCCCAAAGTCCTTCCCACTCAGTGAGACAGAGTCTCCTGGGTAACCTCTCCTCCTTGACCAGCTTCCTAGGGAGAGACAAGAAGGCCCCCTCTCTCCAAGTTTCTACTCCCCCTACTATAAGGTACCCAGTTGCTCAATATCAATTAGTACCTTTCCCCTTTGCCCTTTGGTCCCTCCACTGGTCGCATCAATGTAAGGGAACAGAATCTGATGTAAGCCCATTTGAACATCAGTAAATCCTCTAGAGCAGTTGTGGCAAACCTATGGCATGTGTTACCTGTTTTTCTTTTAAGACAAAAGAGGCTAATGTATGAGCTGTGTTTTCTACACTAAAAGCTCAGTATTTGGGTTTAATTGTAGTGTTGGCACTTTGCAATAAATGAGTCTTAGGTTGCAGTTTGGGCACTTGTCTCTAAAAAGTTTGCCATCTCTGATCTAGGGCATTTGCAAAACTCCCAAGAATGTCACACTCCCATCTCCACAACATCCTGGGACTTTTCACTGGGTTTTACCATTCAAAGGAGTTAGGAACAGATCCTCTGAAGAGTCTATACCTAACTGAGGTAACCCCAACAATTTTGGGCTGCATGAAAAGTAGAATCAGAATCCTCAATCAGAAATTCAGCATCAATTTTCATGGAGGAACCAATATATCAAAATTGAAATCCTCCTAAGAAATGTTTTCAGGAAAGCTACCCTATTCTCTATATAACACATCCAAATGTCCCTTTGCATCCAACCCCAACCCTAGTTCGTCAGGTCTGACTTCTCCAAAGCTAATCAGAGAGCGATGGCCACAGTGGTCAGATGACGGGCACCAGAAAAATCAGCTGGTGCCAGAGGACTGAAACATCCCCTTGACTAGTGAGACCATCCAAAGGCCTCCACGGAGCCTGCAAACCATCTCCCAGCCCAAAAGAGCAGAATCTCCAAAGTTCTCTGAACAGGTTTCAGGAAGCCTGACCTGCATCCCTCAGGAGAGATCCTGGTTACCTGAGATGGTCTCAGCCAGATACAGGGTAACAGCCAAAACCAGAAGATGTTTCATGGATGAAGGGTGCTCAGAGGATAGGAGACGTCTGGACTAGCAAGACAGGAAAATGTCTCTATTCTGGGCAGTCCAGACTAGTATTTATTGCCCCAGAGAGCATGGTAGAGCTGTGATCAGTGATCCAGAAAGGAAAGAGTCATTTGAGGTCAGACAGGAGGCAAGTAATCACCCATAATTATTGAGGAGGTTGGGAGAGAGGAAAGGGAGATTAACAAAGAGATGAAAGCTTTCCCTTTAAGTACAAGTGGGAAGCCAAGAGGGTAAAATACTTTTTATTATTAACTTATTTCAGGGTATTGAAGAGCAAAAAGAAGACAGGAAAGAAGATAGAAAAGGAGTAATATTTCTGTGTGTGTTGGATTTTTCCAGTAATAAAGACCACTTCGTGTGTCCCATAAGCTAGTGGTTCATTGTGAGGAATTACAGGGAAGGACAGAGCAAAGGAAAATACTTTGATAGTTCTGTGGCCATCACTGCTAGAAACAAGAATGTCAGGATTTCTGAAGTGAACAGGAAAACTACACCCCTACTCTTAACAGCGCATGTTTGATAGAAACAAGTAACATCCCCCTACACGGAAATGAAAACAACATTTATTACCATTATGGTATTTCTTTTAAAATATAGTGGACTGCATTATTGACCCCAAATTCTCACCCCTACTAGAACCTACACTTTTGCCAGGGTTTTGTTCTAGGAAGAATGTATTTCACTATCCCTTCATTTGGGTCTTGGCATATAGCTTGCTTTGACCAATAATACTATAAAGGTAAAATTGATAGTAGCTCTGAGCGTGGGCTTTAAAAGTTGATGAATTTTCTCATTTGCCCTTATGTGCTTCTTCCATCACTGTGGGAAGAATGTGTCCAAGGAGATGGAGAAATGCATGGAGCTGAGCCATCAAAGATGGCCTAGTGATCAACAGTGAAAAACAGCTGTCCCAACTCCTGCAGTCCCAGCAGAGAAATCCACCCAAGCAACAGCCACCAGCTGTCATATGGATAAGAGAGCACTGCTGTTTGAAGCTGCTGAGATTGGGAGTGAATATTACATACTAATGGGTAACTAATGCAGAAGGCTGGCAGGTAGATCAGAAAAGAGACAAATGCTTTTTAGTGCATTTCAAAGACATGGTAACAGAGGAATATACTTCTTTCTGACATGAAATAAGACAGTTGTCTCCATGAAAAATTAATGCTATCCACTAAAGGTCTTCAGGACTTTTCTGTAAGGACCCTGCTGGTGTATGCTTTAGGGTTTGTAGGCTGTACAAACAGCTACTCAACTCTGTGACAAACACAAGAGCCACAGACAATACATAAAGAAACAGATGCTGCTTGGTGCCATCCAACCCTACTTAGAGACACTGAGATTTGAATTTTACATAATTTATATAATTTTATACGATTTATATATTATTAAATAGTAGTCTTTCTTTCTTTTCAATTAGTTACAATTATAAAAACCATCCTTTACTCACGGATTATGCAAAATCAGATGTGAGGCTGGATCTAGACTGGTAACACTGAAAGCTGAATAATGCCAAATGGTGTCAGGAAAATGGGGACAGAGGGATATTCACGCACTGCTGGTGCTGTGTGAAACAGATTAGAGGTGAAACATCTGTGACTCTCATGAATCTCATCTCACCCTCAGAGGCTTGGACCCCAGTGAGGGCTGGGAGTTCTAGAATGTTGTAGGTTAGGAGATGAAGCCTGATTGCAGTCAGGAACCACTACCAAGTACTAAGTGTTTCATATAACTTATCTAAAGAGAAATCACTGCAATTAATTTCTTACCTCATTCTAGATAAATATTAACTTTTGTGCCTAATTTTGAATTTGTAATTTTGTGTTTTTAAAAAGAATCCCAAAATTGTTGAAGTGTCAGACCCTACAAAACAAGAATACTCTTCTAAGTTGGAGAGAGCCATTCTGGGGAAGAATAGAACGACATTTAGTCCAAATAAGAATAAACATTTTTTTCTGACTAGAAGTTCCATTTCTGAGTACATAGAAATACCCATGTCTCCCATATAAGCAGTGTATCCAGTGTCTATTAGAGCAAGCTCACGGTGGCAGGGAATTTAAAACAATATGGATTCTTCCACTGAGAGAACTGGAGCATGACATGCAGTGGGTGCACAACCATGGAGAATTATGCAGCAATAATAAGCTGGAGAATTGGGTGTACACAAAGAAATATGGACGGTCAGGCATGGTGGTGCATGCCTATAATCCCAGCACTACGAATGCTGAGGCAGGAGGATTTCTGTGAATTAGAGGCCAGCCTGGGCTACATAGTGAGACCGTCTCAAAAAAAAAAAGAAAAGAAAAGAAATATTGATGGGTATTTACAACTATTGTTGATTTTGTGATGGTATCACATTAGAAAATGGTTGAACAGTTTCTTACTATATTAAATATACATACACTGTACAATTCAGCAATTCCACTCCTATGCATTTATCTAAGGTAAATGAAGATGTGTCCACACCAAAACTTGAATTTTCATAGCAGTTGTATTCTTCAAAAGAGGAAACAACTTCAAAGTCCATAACTAATAAGCAGAGAAATTGTAGTATATCCTTCTAACAGAATAATATTCGGCAATAAAAAAAGAATCAACTACTGCTACACAGATGAACCTAAAAAGTATTAAACTGAGTGACAGATGCTAGACCAAAAGAGAACATAATGAGTGTTCATTTGTATGAAACTCTAGAAAATACAAATCTAATTAAAAACAGCAACAAAATCAATGGTTTTCTGGGGCCAGTATGAGGAGATCAGCATTGACTGATTTGGAGCAAGAGAGAGCTATTAGGATGATGAAAATGTTCTGTATACTTGTCAAAATTCATCAAAATTTACACAGCGGTAGTGCATGTAGATCATTTTATGTAAGTTATATCTGGTCAAATTTGACTTTTAAAAAACTTGTGCTGATTTTTACAAAGTAGAGCAGCCAATGACATATATGACATGAAATCATTTGTATAAATTAAAAATATACACACATTTAAAAAGTATATATTCAAACATGGAAATAGTTTGTCTCTGTGGAAAATGGATGAGGGTTGATTATGATGATGAAAGTCAATAAATCCATGAAATAAAGAAGTGTTTGCATAATGCCAATTATGATTAATTTTCCATAAATAATTTACTCAACCCTCTGAAGACTGGCCACTATTGTTTTCTACTGTGAATTCACTTGGCCAACTTCATGGAACCTTGGCCCCTTTCTCCCCTGAAGTTACTCTGGCTTTCCTTAACTTTCAACCAGTCAGTGTCCAATGTGAGGGACATCAGGACTGTCAGTGACTCAAAGACCTCCCTGGCTCACTGAGCTTTTACATACTTGTTTGAAATGTAAGACTCAGAGAGCTTAGCCCGAATTCGGGTTCAAGGCCAGCTCTTCCTTTGTGTCCGGAGTGGATACAACATAACTGTTTGGGATCTGCTCAAAGACGGTAAAAAAGGATGTGGGCCTTTTTATCAGAACACGTGTCCACGCTTATTCATTTTCCTCGCTCTCCTCGTGCCTCCCTAGACACCTCCCTGGCCTCTTATCTTTAGTGTTTCCAGAGGCCGCTCTGTCCCTCAACACTGTTTCATTGTCTTCTTTCCAAGGAACTAGTCGCTGCTCTCTTGTGTTTTCCGCCCTCGGTAAGTGGGCGTCTCTCACTACTTCCCATCCAAAACTACCCAGGCCACTTTGAGGTGCTGGGAAGATGAAAATTAGGGGATTCTTGTTCTTTTTCATTAAGTTTATTGGTACAATTTAGATATGCATCATGGTCACATTCCTTGTAGGGAGTTTGTACCTGTACGTGATATATCTTGATTGCCTTTTTTGTTTCCCATTTCCCTCCCCTCCCTTCAACTCTTCTTCCCCTCCTTATTTACAAAGTTTTGTTTCCATTTTATCCTTCCGTTCGCATGTTTTCTTTTCCCTTCCTTCCTTTCCCCCGCCCCCTCCTTAGCTCCCCTTCCCATCTGAACAATTTCTTCCTATTTCACAATTTCTATTATACATTTTGGTTCTCATTTACACTTACAGTTTCTCACACCAGAGAGATGATGAGATATTTGTACACTTATGTCCAATTTATTTCACTTAAGAGTATGAACTTAAGGTGCATCCGGTTACAAATGTCTCCAGTTTACCCTTCCTTCTGGCTCAGTAGTTCTCCATTGTAAAAAAAAAAAAAGAAAGAAAGAAAAAATCTTTGTTATCCATTCCTTGGTTGATGGCATTTGGGTAGTTTCCAAGACTTAGCTATCACAAACTGTGTTGCTATATACATGAGTGTGTATCAATCACTGTGCCATGATGTTGTAATTCTTTGGGAAGATACCCAGAATGAGAATAGCTGGGTCAAATGGGACCTCTAGTCCTAGTTTTTTGAGGAATCCCCACACTGACTTCCACAGAGATTTCTGTTCTTAAACACCTTCTTTAGGATATGGAAAACCAACATTTTTAAATGATTTTTATGGCCTTCAAAAAAACATTCAAGGTACGTTTACTAAATCAACCAAATCTAGACTATCTGTTATGTACCAGATACTCTCCTAAACATCAGGAATTCAGAACCATGTAGGATACTGTCATCTTAGAGCCAACCACATGGTACTAGGAAAAACTATATTATATAGCAGTAATGGCTTATAAGAGCAAAAGTTTATTTCCCACTCATACTGTGTAACCATGGCTGGTGATGCTCCTCCACATCTTCTTACTGTAAACCTTGGCTGATTGAATGAATAGTCACACAATTATTACTGATCATGCTGGCAGAGGAAAAGAGAGTTTTAAAGAGATTTGAGGTTTGGACTGGCCATTAATATCCTTGGAAGTCATGTATAGTTAGCTCTCAACTCACTAGCACAAGAATGACATGGTACCATCCAACCACAAGAGGGCCAAAGTGCATCCTAAACAGGCTTAGCATGCAGAAAACTAAAATTATCAAAGCCACAATAGATAAATGTTGGCAAGCACGAAGAAATTGGAGGC